ACTTTCTTTGGGATTGCAGCACACCGGCCAGGCTGCCCGCGCTTGTTAGGGTGTCTGGGTGGTCTGGTCCAAGAACCTTCTCGCGCCCCTCCAGTCCACGCCGAGTCATCGCCTCTGATTCATCGTATTTTCCTTGGGATTCTAGAACAATAGCCAGGTTGTTGACACTCGATAGGGTGCTTGGGTGGTCTGGTCCAAGAACCTTCTCGCGCCCCTCCAGTGCACGCCGATTTATCGCCTCTGATTCATCGTACTTTCCTTGAGATCGCAGCACAAGAGCCAGGTTGTTGGAGCTGGCTAGGGTGTGCGGGTGGTCTGGTCCAAGAATCTTCTCATACCCCTCCAGGGCCTGCCGCTTCATCGTCTCTGATTCTTTGTACTTTCCTTGGTATTCCAGCACAATGGCCTGATTGCTGACACTTGATAGGGTGTTTGGGTGGTTTGGTCCAAGAATCTTCTTGCACCCCTCTAGTGCGCGCCGATTTACCGTCTCTGATTCATCGTACTTTCCGCTGTGTTGCAGCGCCTGAGCTAGGTAGTGGAAAGCCTCTAGGGTTATGAGATTATTTTGGCCTAATGATCCCTCAATATCCTCCAATAAACCCCGAAGTAACTTCTCGGCCACATCTGCCTTTCCCTGACATGTGCTTACCGCCCCCAGGAGCGTGACCCTTCTCGCACCTTCCCCATCCCAGTCATACTCTTTACTCTCTCCCCGCAGCGCTATACACCGACGCAATTGGGCTTCTGCGTCATTGTACAAACCAATATCTATAAAATGTTGTCCCAGACTAAAACAGAGCTCTTCGGCAACAGGATTTGTTGAATGTCTGGTAACTACAAGTGCATGGGGAATGTATGCAGAACCAACATATCTCCCTGTGTTCCAATTCCGTGGGAATAACCTTGAAACCACTTCCAGCGCAGTAGCCCTCCATCGGTTCAACTCGTCTGTTGGTAAATATACGTGTAAAGCTAGTTGGACTAAACGATGAAGCTCGTAAAAGGTCTTGTCCTCAGTTGTGACAGTCGTAACTAGAGAAAATCCCAACAGTTTTCCGATGGCCTGGCGAAACTCGATTGGGCCGTCTACTCCTTCCAAGCCACTTTGACTTAGTAGCTCTTCGGGAATGTTCTGACGGTCGAAGAAGGCAATTAAACGCAGAAGTTCTGCTGCTAGAGGTAGCTGCCGTGTGATTCGGTCAAAGGTGACAAAGTATGTAGCTAGAATGGTTTCGGTCGTATCCGCCTCTCGCTGGGTGTCGGAAAATGGCTGTGAAAGAAGCTTCTTTGCTTGCTCGTCGCTTCCGCGGAAAATGTCCAAGTAAGTGGACGGTGGTGTCTGGGTTTCCGTCATGAAGGCTGCCGCTCCTACGATAGCCAGTGGGATGTGGTGTACGGAGTCCAGAATCATTGAGATGGCATTTCTGTCTTCATCTCTCGCACTGTTCCCACCACCAAACCGTTTCGAAAATAATGCCTTGGCGTCATCCTCCTTCATTTTCCCGACATTGATCCTTTCGCAATCCTGCCAAGATGCAACCCGGAGTGATCTGGTGGTGAATATTAGAGTGCCCCGTGGTCCTTGTGGTATAAATTTAGAGATGGGACCGCTGTTGCCGATAAAGTCCTCCTCATTGTCGGCGTTGTCAATAACTAGTATCCAATCGCCACTTTCTGCACCTTCAAACCACCTCCTTATATTTAATAGGAATCCCTCTTGGTTTGCCTCGGCGCTGGCTAGGGGAATTCGGACATGTTGGGCAATAGCTCTGAAGCCCTCACTAAATTTTGTTGCCCCACTCCCGTGTACCCAAAAAACATCACAATCGGTCTCGCTTGCGCGCTGATAAACGTATTCGAGGGCAATCTGGGTTTTTCTAAGCATTGTTAGTAAACCTCCAAAACTTGTAACAATAATGAATACATACCCTGAACCGCCTAATCCATGAAGCGCTATCCGGTTCTGGCCGCTGCCCTCGGAAAACCTCTTTATCAACTCCAGGAGATCTTTACGGCCAGTGAACTTGCTGTTTCTGCGATAGGGAATTATCCGATAAGGCCTAGATGCTGCTTCTGGTTGTGATAGCACATTAGACCGTGGTCAGAAGTCTCTCGTGGAAGTTTATAATACCTCTATCCCCAGCTCCAAACACACATCCTTGATATATCCTTCCGAGATTGGTAACATAGTTCAGGCTTCCAGTGTTCAAGTTGTTAATATCATTACTACCGAAAACATTACTATCCCCTGAATTCCCGCTGAAGTTTCCACTGATATCGGCTTGTGTTTTTCTGGGAAGATTATTAGACTGGTGCTTATTATTCTTGAAATCCGAGAAATGGAAGGAAAAGGGAGCCCACCGATCCATCAAGTGCTCGCGTGATTAACTGACCACGGAGAGGTTTTGGAGATTGGGTGGAAGAAGTAACAAGATGTCGCTTCAGGAGTATATATGATCGTTGTCAATCGCTTCGCACGGCCTTGGATACGGGGATGGATTGGTAATTCTGTGGTTTTGATGCAGCTATAGGATGTGCTCCTATCTCGGGCTATTCGAATCTAGTGAAGCCGTAAGATTTGGCAAAAGAGTACAGGATGGGTATCAGAGAGGCAGCGTCTATGGGTAGTAACCAAGATTGAAATCCAGTCTTATAAGCCCGGGTGGGGAAGATGGTGGAGAAAAGCAAACAACACTGCACCGCCTGCCGATAACTGGCTTCCTCACAGTATGGGAGATATCCAGGTAGTTGATTGGTCTTGGGTCGCGGTTTGGAGATTGGCTGGCAATTGGTGCATGTCTTGGCACTGGTTACACTGCAGCAAACGACAATACTCGAGTAAGCGGACAATACGAGTACTTGTACGAGTATGGTGGCACCTTAGAATCAACCCTCACGACAACCGAACTTTCACAACTTTCGGCGGGCAACAACAACATCACATATCATTATTTTCCTTATTCCTTCTGTATAATCCTCCTAAAACATATAAAGAACACATTTACAGAGCAGATTTCACTCAAGGGGTGTGGTTCTTTCTATAACAGCTGTTAAAGTTGAGGCAAAATTCTGGTGGAGCGAGGAGGTTGGCACTTGTGTGTGAAAAGCAAGGTTTTTGCTGAGTAATACACTAACACATTGCCTAAAGCAGTATGGTCAGATACTACATTAGGACTAGTGCCCGGACCCCGGATGGCACTGAAGGTCGATTCTAAGGTGCCGGCACCATACAAGTACGAGTAACCTCCCGGCTGCATCCCGGGATAGCCGTGCATTTTGGAATGCGAGCTGAAGCTTTTGAGGATATGATACGAACCCCAGCCTATAAAATGATGCCGGTAGGCCAACAGAGTTGGTTGGCCCATCCTTGGAAGAAACCCCCCTTGTCCTCGTGCCAACTTCTTTTCTCGACAAAAGGTTAGGCTGTCATTATGGTGAAACAAGCATATGATCCCAGCTTCAAAATGGATTAGATATCTAGAATCTAGGCTGGTGCATACCGTTAAGTCAGCGGAAAGTGACACCATACCCCGGAACCACACTTGTGCCGTAGCAGCGATCCTAGAGTACTTGTAATTTCGTGGGGACCTTGAAAACCAGCCGACTTGGGTCAGCACGCAAAAGGGCGGTAGGCGTACCGTACCGGTACTTGTACTCGAGTACGTATTGTATCTAAGAGAATCCCCAGTAGAAATGGGGCAAGTGGTATCGAACGTCTCACGAGGCTGGTACTCGAGTATACGGAGGTACTTGTACAGCACCTAAGTTTTGTATGCTCTACAAGCAAGGGGTGCTGGGCTACAGTAGCGCGGGTGTTGGCGGCGAATTGGGCAATGTCTAGTGAAAATTTCTTAATCTGTGCTCAAGCTTTCCCAATTCGCGTTAAGTACCCACCGCCAGCCAAACACCCTTGCTTGTGGAACATACAAAACTTAAGAGCCGTACCTCCGTAATCAAGGTATAGTACCGTACCGGTAAATGCTAAGCGAATGGGGAGTGGCAGTTCAGAGAATGTGGGGCTCGTACCCCCCGAAGAGAGATTTGGACGGGTTATGCCCCCCCCCCTCCCATTACCCTAAAATCCTCAGCCTTACATGCTGTACCGGTACGCCCATCCTTCTCGGTGCCGATACCACAATAGTCCTCTCATTTCATGAGTGGACACCAGTAATTCAAAACTCTTCCCAAGATGGGCATTGGTCGCCTCTTTTGAGCAGCCAGAACCGGTTGATGTGGTTCATTTACTACCGACCGCTCTACCGGTACGAGCACTCGAGTCTGTGTTTCGAAGAAGGCCTTTGCTGATCGAACTTGGGGGGGTTAGCAGTGGGAGGGAGGCGTGGAATCGTGGCATCAGAAAATGGCGATTCGGGGTTGGGGTTCTTGGGGCCTTGGCGAGCGGGTGCGGTGGGGAAAGATGGAATGGCTTATGATACCAAAAATTCGAGTTCAAGCGAGGATCTTCTCGGCGAATGAGGATCCAACTTGACTATTGTTCCCAGGGAACACTAGAGATACAGTGCTCATGAGGTTCACAATATTAGGGAGTTCTAGCGCCAGAGCTTTGTACAAGTGCCAGGGATAATGTTTTCGCACGGTTAATTTAAGTTAACTCGCAAAACAATCTCTGTCTTGTACGAAAACATCTCCCCTAGCACTTGTACTTCTGAAGAGCTTTAGCATTGATGTGCGGATACTGTACTCGAGTACTCACGAAATTCCCAAGTATGATAGTTTTTTCCCCAGGAGGGGTCTAGCTCCCCCGGCTCGAGAGACGAGTTCCAGCTGGCTTGATCATTTTTTGATGCAACCCCCTCTTCGTTGTAACATCGATTCGAGCACACCTTCACATCGCTCCCTAGGTTGTCCACGGCCCCCTATTCTTACCTTTCCATCGCATTCGGCACGTGCCTGATCTCTCCCGTCATGCCAATCTCGTGGGGAAGGTCATGCTGGAGGGCTGTCTCCCCCGCCCCCTCATGCTCGCAAGATCGCACTTCTAAGAAGTCGCGTCGCAAAGGCTCATCCGATACGGTACGCCATACCAATATCGGGGATTTCTGCAGTGGGTACTTGTGCAACATGCTTGCACGCCGCTGTCAAACACCGTAATCTTATCATACAGTACGGGGGGTGGAAAAAAGTAATGCGATGCTCGTATGGTACTCGTCCCAGACAGGCAAGAAGTATTCGGAAGCAGGGGCGGTAAAAGGGTGTTGGAACAGGGGGTTGAGACCAGGTGCATCAAGGGGATGCATGGGGTGTAATTGGTCGTTTGAGAAGGAGATTTTGAGTTACAATGCAATGAAAGCCCTCGAAAACATGCAGATTTCATAAACTAAGTTGTTGTAATCAGGACTGGAATCCGGTTCAGGGATTTGTATTTTTTGTTTGTTTTACTTGTGGTTTTGAGTATCCCTTAATATTCTGTTTGTTTTACATGTGGTTTCAAGTATTCCTTGATACTCTGTTTTACTTGTGGTTTCAAGTATCCTTTGATACTCTGTTTGTTTTATATGTGGT